GGGGGCAGAGATCTGTCAGCACTGTGCCCGGCCCTGCTGGATACAGCAGTGGGTAGAACGCAGGAGAGCAGCCAGTGGGAAAGTCAGGATGGATACAGGGTGGAAGAAAGCAAGCAAGGGGAACTGAGATGCAGACCGTGAGCAGGGCCAAAATGCCCTGTGAAGCTGTGCATAAAATCATAGAATACAGTCTACAACTGCCTGGGCAGGGGCAGAGGAGGGGCAGGGACTGAGCTCTGCTCTGGGGGGACCAGGGACAGCAGCCAGGGAATGGCTGGAGCTGTGTCAGGGCAGGCTCAGGTTGGATCTCAGGCAAAGGTTCTTCCCCCAGAGGCTGGTTGGGCACTGCCCAGGCTCCCCAGGGCAGTGGGCACAGCCCCAAGGCTGCCAGAGCTCCAGGAGGGTTTGGCTGATCCTCTGGGGCACAGGGGGTGACTCTTGGGGATGGGCCTGTGCAGGGCCAGGGGTTGGACTGGATGATCCCTGTGGGTCCCTTCCAGCTCAGCACACTGTGTGATGCCAGGTCCCCAGGTGCCACATCCACATGTTTTTTAAACACTTCCAGGTATGGTGACTCCACTGCTTCCCTGGGCAGCCTGTTCCACTGCTTTACATTCTCTGTGGAAAAATGCTCTACACTGAGAATTGGAGTGGCTCTTCATGAGAACAGCAAAGCCTGGAGTCCTCTTACAGTTCTGGTCCCCATTGGTGCATGGAACAAATTATTGTCCCAAGGCAGGAATCTGATTTACTGACAGGGCACATTCAGAGCTGTTCAGGGCTATTCAGGGCAAAGGAGCAACTCCCACAGGGCATCTCCCACAGGGCACCCACTGAGCAACTGGCAGGCAGTAAAACCAGGAGAGGGATTGACAGCAAAGAGAAGGCAGCAAAAGGCCTCTCTTTGGTGACATTGGACCATTTCTTCTCCAGGTCCAGCTGGGATCTGAGCATGGGGCAGGGGCACAGGGAGAACACAGTAGCAGCAGCCCCTGAGAGCTGCCCAGCAGGAGGAAAGGCAGCAACCCCAGCAGGGATGGAGAAGGAATGGAACTGGAGAGGCTGCAGTGTCACACAGCCACCTCCAGGCAGGATGGCAGGGAGAACTTCAAACTCTCCCTTAAGTTTGTGTGGTTTGTTTTTTTTTTTAACCATTGGCCTTTCAGTGCAAGTAAGGACTTGCCAGGCTTCTTGTGTGAAATAAATTGTATCTTCTGTCATTCCTTTACTTAGATATTTATCTTACATACCCTCCTGAGTACTGAATTTTACCTGCTCACCTTCTACTGCCAGGAGCTTTTCCCTTTGTGGAAGTATTTCTGCTCAGAGCAGCACTGTGGCTCGTTTGCATGGCCAGCTAAAATTGATGGTTCTTGCATTTGTTTTCAAGATGAGCACATATCCATCTCCTGCTGCAGTATCCTGTAGGATCAGAGGGAGCTGCTGCTGCTGGAGTCAGAATCTTTGCCCACACACACACTGCTCATGCCACAGAACCCCCCAAAAACGGCCTGTGTGTGTTCACTGTCAGCCCTGCAGGCACATTCCTGTGCACTCCTATTTCTGCTGTTATCAACACTGGGGTTCACTCCCATATCCACAACATCAGTTCTGTGTGCTTTTCATGTGCACCAGCCTATGTGGGATCCCCTCCTGTCCTTTCCAAATTTACAAAATAAATTTGTAAAGGTCACTCTGGGCCTGAATATTCCCATCTAGATTCCAATTGCAAGTTCATAATCCCTGTAACACACTCCATTCCCAACCCCAAATGAGAGGATTATGTCTTCATCCCTGAAGTATGATTTCCATCTGCTACTTCTGCATGTCACTGCATGGGAAGCCCCATTTCCCAGCTTTCTGCTTTGCTGTCTGGAGTTCCCCACTGCCTTTGCCCACTGAATTACCAGAAAATTGCCAGAAACATCAGCCCTTCAAAACCCCTCGAATCACAAACAAGACCAGCTCTGTCTCATCTCTAGTGCTCACAAATGCAGAGAGAAACACTGTTTAAGCCTTCCACAGTTCTCTGCTCTCCAGCAGGATCCCAAATCCCAGCAGCCCTTTACATCCCCTCCTTAACTGAGGCTGTTGCTTTGTCTCATCCCCTGCAGGTACCGGGTGCTGCTCAGTCCTCACACACAGATCTGGTCTGACCAGCACCCGAATCTCTGTGGGACCCCTGGTGTAACCCCAGCCTGCTGACACACAAGACAAAGGAGAGACTCTCACTGCTGAGGTTTCCAGCTCAGCCCACACAGGCACAGACCTCCCTCCAGTGAGTGTGGGTCACTGGCAGTTTGGAAGGTACAGCAAGGTCCCCTTTGACAAAGAAGTGCATAAACCCTTATAATTACTCATCACAGATCGTTGTTCTCCTCTGGTGAATGGCTCAAATACAAATGTTTGCACTGAGGCCAAAAGCACAGGGTCTGAGCTCAAGTAACATCCTGGGTTGGTAATAAATACCCACTGCACAAACAAACCACTGAATGGCTTTTCCCCAGATGTCACAAAGTTACCCCATGCACAAACTGCTGTTTGGTGCCACCTGCTACCCCAGCCTCAGGCTTGCAGCAAAAAACCAGTCTTCTGTTAAAATAAACCCATTGGGATAGAAACTAACTTGCTCTCGTAGAGTATGCAGTTGTCATTGCTGGTTTCCTTGCTTCGTGTAAAATACAAATGATCCAAAGCAGCAAGTAAAGCTGTGTTTTGACTGCTGTGGGGACACGGGTGACTGTCACCAAGGGCTGCCAGACCAGCTCTCTCCTCCAGCCAGCAGCAGGGCCTCATATTAGAGGCTTCCCAAATTGCATAAGGTGTGGAGCTAATAAAAACTTGAACGAGCCTGGAAACCTGATGATTAAATCTTGGAAAGCTGAAAGCCATGTGAGCTGGTTAGCACCGACTTCTGCCATGATGGATCTCTAGCAACATGTGAAAGTTATCAGCCATCCCTGTTGTTGGGCAGTGCAGACACACACAGCCAGCCAAGTTCTTAGCAAAACCAGCTCTTGAGCCCCACAGGGACTATTTGGAGACCTCATCCTGCACAAATATACCCAGTGCACACAAAAACATCTCGGTTCAAAGTTAAAAATTAGTCCTAATGTTACCTTCTCTGGAAAACCCAACTGCAACGTCTCATTTTCTGTTTTCCCACCGTATCTGAAGCTGCAGCGCTCGATCTGTGCAATAGGCACCCACACCCAGCACGTACTGCCTCACTGGATTCATGGATGCTGCTGGCAGGAAAGGAACAAGGCTGGAATACTGTGTGGCCCTGGTTAGCTCGTGCTCAAAGGTCAACTCCTGATAGCCTTGGACATGATTCCCCCATTCCTACTGAAGAGAACAACTGACCCTATAAAACAAACAGCAGCAATGCCCCTTTCACAGCTGTCTCCAGTTTCCCCCCTGAAATTTGGCTGGGTGTTTACTCTGCGACTCAGAACACAGACGTAAACTGTTTAGGGATATCCCTATATCCTTGTTTCTCCTTAACAATGCCAGAGAGAATGAAAAATGCGGCTCATTAGTATTGTAACCATCAGAAAGAAAAAAAAATAAAGAGGAAAAAAAATCCTCCGTAGTGAGGGTCTGACCTGTAGCAGCCCAGACTGTGTCCTCAGCACGTTCCAGTTTCGGGGGAAGGGTTGCTCTGAAGAGATTTTCAGGCAGTGGTGGGCAGATCCCAGATGCCCACAGGTCCCACCCAGGTGGTCTCCAGCGGGAGCCACAAGCCTCTGTGGGGAAGAGAAAGGGTCACAGAGGAAACTGCGTTTGTTTGGAGTGGGTTTTTTGGTTGTCCTCAAAGTGAGATCTGAACACTGGGATTACCAAAGCACTGTGGTAGCTGCTCATCAGAACAACCCCACTTCCCTGTGTCCCCTGTGCACCCCCAGGCTTTTCTGGAATAGTTCTGCATAGTCCAGCATCCTCACAGGGGTGAGGGAAAATGTTGGAGTCACACCTGAGCCCTGTGCAAACCCTGTCCTCAGAGAAGGAAGGGGGATCTCATTTTTCCCCTGATTTTAACCCAAGGAGGAGGGGTGACTGTGTGGCTGCCAAAGGCCCCACCAGCAAGAGGGGACCCCTCAGGGGGCTCCTCATGCAGGAGGGTCTTTCTCCCCCAGCACCTTTGGTGCAGCCAAGCAGGGTCTGGGCTCCCTGTGGCAGACCTGGGGGAGCCAGGGTGTCCTCCAAGAGGCGCTTTGGCTCAAGGAGAGGGAGCAGGGAACCATTAACACAAGGAAAACACAGGAGTGTGCCCTGCCTGGGGTGAGGAGCGGGGGCTGCAGCGGCCCTTCCACCTCTGGGCACCACCCACCATCACTTTCTTCTTTGGAATTCCTCTGGAGCAGCGCAGTGCCTTTGGCCTCTTACGGTGTCCACACACAAAAAGAACCCTTTTCCTCATTTCTCCTCGTGCCTGTGGCAAGGCTGGGGGGCTGCAGAGGCCCCTCTGTGAGGGGAGGCTGGGCTGGTCCCAGGGGGTTCCACAATGGCCCCCTCTCAGCCCCTCTGGGCAGAGGGAGCAGAGAAAGGTTAAAATGCCACTAGTCTGGGAAGAAAAACGTGTTAGAAACAGCCCAGTGACACCCCAGAGAAAAGAGGGGGAGGAACGTGCTTTAGGGTTTTGTTTCTGGCCCATCTCTGTTTCAATCAGCAATAAATTAAACTGATTTTCCCTGAAACTGCAACACTAATGCTGCTGTGACAAGACAGCACCAGTCACTGAGAAACTGGAAACCATAATGAGGATTTTTCCCTCTTTGGCATTATCTATATAAAGTAGCACAAAACATAGTTGGGAATTGCTGCCATAAGTAGAAAACCTCATGACATTTGGGGTGAGTGGTGGCAGCTCCTCACAGTTCCAGATGGAGCCATCCCAGTGCCAGCCCCCCACAGCAACTCTGCTCCCCTCCCGCCACACTGCTGCTGAATTCCACCCCCAGGGGATGCCCACAAGGTGTGGTTAATCCCTTATTTACCTTCCAGGGGAGCTGTGATGTTTAGTAAGTGCTTGGGAACAGCTGTGGAGCCAAAGGAAGTTGCATTCCCATCCCTGCCCCCAGGAATCACCTCAGCGAGTTGTTTTCCAGTGGAACTTCAGCGATCTCCACATGAGGCTCAGAAGGGCTAAATTTAAGCTTGCTGTTAGTTAAGAATTTTATTTTTTTTTTTTTTGCTGAGACATATCTGTGTGCAAAGCTCTTTGCAAAAAGTGTGTGTGGGTTTGAGGAGTGGGAGAGGGCTGTGAATAGATTCAAGTCCTTCAGTGGTTACCAACAGTCTGCTTGAGATGTAAATTCCTCCTTAGCATTGAGATCTTGAAAACATGTGGAGACCTGAGCTGGTATTGGTTTTATTTTATTTTGTGTAGACCTTTATCTGCAAATAATAAACAGAAGCTTTGCCTTATACAAGGCATTGCTGAAGAGGGAGAGAAAATGTCCTTTATCTCTTACATTCTTGTTATGCAGCATCAACACAGCATTTAATAAAAAGCATCTTGATATAATAATAGTTTAAAGCTTGTTTTCCAAACAAAACTGTTGTTTGCCCAGAGTAATGTAAATTTGCAGTTCTCCTTTACACTTCACAGACGGCGAGAGAAAAAGGTTTTAAGATCTCCCCAAAGGAGAGATTTAATTGTAAAACAAAGCACTAAGTATGACATCTAGCTGAAGCTGTAAAGGCTACAGTAATTAAGAAAGGCTAAAACATATGGTGCACTTCATGAGGCTGGTTAATATGAGCTCCCAAACTGCACCTTTTTGTGCCTGAGAAGAAATGAGAGGAAAGCACAGCTATTCTCCTCATCCTTGAACCATACGAAAGCCTTTGCCGTAGTCCCGGTGAAGCAGGAATGGCACCTTCACTCCATCTGGAGGACAGGGATTTCCTTTCACCAGCTAAGCAAGAGATGAGCCACAGTTGTGATCTATTGATGCGTTTACAATGTGATCTGAGGGCAGGAAATGGTCATTAGTGGCCTGTGGCAGCCTGTGGGTGATGCCAGCACAGGACAATGCCACACTCCAGCTGGAGAAGTGTCCTTTAGTCAACACTTACCCTACACCTCGGGCACCCTCCCGAGTGCTGGGTTACATTGCAGTGATGGAGATGTGCTGTGGAGCACAGGGAGCCCTTGTGCAGGCTCTGACGGGCTGGGGATGTTGCAATGTGGTCAAATCCCACAACAGCAGAGATGGAAACAAAACAAACCCACAACAACAACTTGTGTCATCTGATACAGAGAAGCTGAGAGCCAAGTCCTTAGCTGGTGTTAACTAGCACAGCTCTTTCTACACTCAGGGTTTTGGGCTCAGTTCTCATTATTTCATAGCTTTTAAGCTCTACTTACCCACTTCAGTGCTCAGAAAGTCTATAAACTCTGGGTTACCAATTTGAAACTGTGTTTTATGAAAATCACTGCTTGGCTAAAACCCATAAATGTCTTTTCCAAACATGATTTACCTCTTTTGCTGCTGTGGGTGCACAGTTTGGATGGGTGAGGTGCCTGTTCCTGGCAGTGTGTCCATACCTGCTGGGCATACCTCCAGCTGAGAGGGCACTGGCATTTGAACTGAGAGTATTCACAGCCTTTTGGCTCTCAGGAAGACAGTCCAAAAGGAAGCCAAGGAAAAGGATATATTTCTTCTTTGTGCTCCCTGAAAGGGGAGGTCAGAAAAATAAGAATATCAGCAAAAGGCAAATATATATATATGACAAGAAAAGCAGATAGGAAAGCACATCTGACTGCCCTTGAGCCAAACATTGTTTAGTACCACAGGCTTGCCCCTGTCACCCAGGGATGTGATATATCCACTCAGAGGGGCACCTTCAAAGGGAAGGAAAAGAATTTTGGTACATTTTCCCAGGAGGAAGCCTGAAGCTCAGAGCCCTCTGCTAGCAGTTGTGTATAAGACATAATTTGCCTAGTTAATTGGGTCACTGATGGAGAAAGGTGGGCTGATCTGTCAGACCTGCAAAGCAATAAATGTCTGTGCCAGCAGCAGGTAGAGAGCAAGTGCAGAGCAATGACAGCCCAAACCTTTAGCAAAGTAAGGGAAATTCTTCCTGAGAATGAAAAATAATAGCAAGCCCATAAGTTCTGGAGGTGTGTTTCTCTTCTCTTTTTTCTCTTCTTGTGTACAAGCAACATGGAAACAGGAGAAAGAGGATAATTTCTCTGGCACTGAAGTGTTTTCTGACTGCAACTATTTCTGGGTTCCCCCAGCCCCAACGTTTGCAGTTTGATCCCAGGAGAAAATGGCGTGGTTTGCATTTTTAGGGAAAACACCCTCAGATTAATTTGTGCAGATTTGCATATAAATGACTTTCAGGCTCAGCATCCATCACGATGGCAAGTCTGGTTTGTGACTCCCAACTGTCTGTGGTCTCCAGTCATCATAGCAGCCTGTAGGTATTCTCTCAACTTGGGTTTGCTTCATTTGAGTCTGAGCTCAGAGGCAAAAATATGTTCTCTTCTAGCAGATGCCTTATTGAGATGTGATTTACATCAGGGAAAAAAAGCGAGAAATATCAATATTTGCATTATAAACATGATTTTCAGGATGTCTGCTGTGGTTCATTCATCTGGTTTTTTGGCTCTTCCATACACTGAGTTCACTTTTATTTGACTGCACGAGCATATGGGCCTCATTGTCTTAATGACAGGCTGATTTTATTCTCCATCCTTGCTGGCACTTCCTAACTGTGGAGGGGGTGTCAGGTGAACTCTGTTGGTATTCAGAATTATCCATACATATCCTGGCCTGATTGGCATCTCACTGATCCTGGCTAAACACCCAAGGAAATTTTAGATGGCGATCATCTTTTCGGGGAAGATGTGGTTCCTCCCTGCCCAGCAGAGGCTTTGGAGAGGGAAGGCCATCAAGGACAGCTGGAAGTGTTTCCTGGAGGTGACTCAGGATTCGTAGCCCCCAGGTGTGGGTGTTCTGAGTGGACTGTCTGGGCTCCAGTGCTGCCCTGTAGGACCCAGGCACAAACACCCTTCCTGCCAGCAGACAGTGGGATCATGTCCTGCTGGAGCAACCAGAAAAAACCTGGGAGGGGAGGAGCACCTTCCACAGGGGCTGGAAGTCCCCAGCCTAACACAGGCATCATGTGCACTTGTCACCGCCCCAGGTGACACTGGAGTGCCACAGACACCTCCCTGCAACCCAGAGCAACCCCCTGGGCAGTTACTGTGTAGGTCCCATGGTCACCTCTAGCTTTGGTTTCAGCTCCATGACAGTTTTCCCCAGAAATCCCTGCAGGTTCCCTGATCCCCTGGGTGAGTTCCACAGAGGAGCATGCCTTTAATAACGTCAGAATAGCAGATTTTTTACCTCTGCCCTTCCCTGAAGAAAAAGAGATAGAGGTATATAAAATCATTAAGTGACTAAGCCAGCTCCTGGGACACAGAACAAACTGTGTGCTTAGATATGTTCAACAGCCTCAGAGTCTGCAGAGGGAAGGTGGGAAAGCAAGGAATGCTGCTTGGAAAAGCTCCTGAGGAAACGAGGCAGCTGTCTCTGCTCAGGAATTTCTGCCACAGCCATTTCACACTCCAGGCTGAGCCCACATGCCCAGGAAATATGTGGGTAATCCACCAGTTACAGAGTCACAGAATATCCTGAGCTGGAAGGGACCCACAAGGATCATCAAGTCCAACCCCTGGCCTTGCCCAGGACCCCAGGAATCCCACCATGTGCCTGAGGATGTTGTCCAAATGCTCTTTGAGCTCTGATAGGCTTGGTAGTGTTGGTGTTGTGCCAAGCAGTGAAGTTCACAGCCACAGGCTTGTGTGATCCTTGCAGAAACACTCCTCGTTTTTCACTCAAATCCGACTGATAAAAGCAATAGAGCAGTTTTGACCTCCCTTGTAAAACTGTTACATCATTGCTTCCTCGCTGTTTCTGTGTCTCTGCTCACCTCCCCTCCAGCCTGAGCGATGATGGATCGGGGTGCAGGACCCCCGGGGCCCTCCCAGCACCATCCTGCACCGCCCAGTGCCCGCTGTCCCTGGTGCCTGGGAGCCCTGGCTGTGGCTGGGGTCACACTTAGACTTCTTCTTCAGAGCAAATCCCCATGGTGGAAGCAATTTGGAAGCATTAACACCCACCTGACATGCCAGAGCTGAGAAAATTGTTGAAAACTACAGCAACTGAATTTCCTGGCTCATCAAGTGGTGCTGAACAGCCTTCCCCCCCTTCAGATTTCACACCCAAGTCTCTCACTTTATCTTTCTGTAGTTCCATCGCTGCTGACGAGTTTGAAATGTGCCACAGGTTGTAGTGATGGAGAGTTGGTTCCAAAGCTCCCCCTTGCACTGGGGCTCTCTAGCAGGGACACTGAAAAGAGGGATGGTTTGTGCCTCCCAAAACAGTCACTCCCCAGAGCTCACCTTGGCAAATTCCATCTTGTAAGCCACCAAAAATATCTTCTGATTTAAAGTCTGCTTTTTACATGATACACAAGTGCATCATTTCTGTCAAGAGCTACTTTGCATCATAAAGAAAGAGAAATAACACATGAGAAGGACTAAATAGAAAATTGGTTGTGTTTCAAGAACTCAGTTCCATGACAAAAAACTACCAGCTCCCAAAGGCAAAGATATTGTTTCCTTTCAAATTTCTGCACATAGCCAGCAGGAATACCTAAAAAAAAATAATTCCACTGAAATAGGGGGCAAAAAAAAAAAAGGAAAAAAGAAAAAATACACTCTCCAAACTAAAGTCTTCTGTATGCAAAGGCAAGGGAAGCTGATACATTTTTACAGCCAAATTCACTCTGCTGCAGAAGGAATGTCCCCAGGGCCCAGAGATTACATGGCTTATCCAACCTGTCCTACTCCTCACTGCCTCCTGCATCTGCATCTCCCACTCCAGAGGCCCCACCAGCGCTCAGGGTACGGAGTTCTCAGGAGTTTGGAGTCCCATGGGAACTGGGGGATGCTCAGACACCTCTTTCCATTTGGCTCAGGAAGACAATGCAGAATTCTGAGCCTTTGGTTGGGTTTGCATGCAGCACTGCTTCCATCCCAGGCAGATCCCA